TAAAATAGTAGCTTATATATCAAAAAATATACCAAATATATTTTTGTAACAATAATTAACTTGAAATCTAACCATAAAATAAATTTTTTATATTTCTAATGTGAAAACAATGATTAGTTATACAAATAAAGTTAAAATTAACTCCCTTTTTTTTGTATTTTGTTATAAGTGTAGAATCAATAAAAGTTTCTTGTTTTTAAAATATATGGAAGAGAGTTATAGATTATTGTGTTATCAAAAAATTTATTATTAAATTCAGATTAAGCTATGTATTATTGTAACTAGAATAATTTTTAGATTTTCAAGAACAATATAATCCATGGATTTATGGAATAATGAGCATATATGTAAAATATATAATAACTTAGGATTTATATCCAGAGTGAATGTAAATAAGATAATTTTAAAATAATGAATTAAATATTCTTTTATATTTCAACTCAATAAGCAATCAATAGGATTAAAAAATTATGTCCTTTTAATGAATATATTTTATTTACCTTTATGATTATTTTAAATAGGTTCGATCAGTACTGAAACAATAAATCACTTAATTTAATTCAATATATTGTCGTAATTATCTTCCTAAAGAACTTATTTAAATTATAAAAATGAATGATAATAATAGCATCTATTCAAAAAAAGGTTCAATATAAGCAATTACTATTTTAATTTAAGGAGCAGACAATATTGATAGATATAAAAAATCAAATAAAATCATAAAAAAAGAACTTTCATAAACTTTAACAAATAACAAAAGGGTATCTAAATTAAATAAGTTTTTGGTATAATTTTGATCAAAATAATTTCTTTCAAAAACTTGATTAATAAGTTGTTCAGCAATGCTTAGATATTATTAAAACTTCAATGAAATAAAACAAGGATTAATAGTTGTTATTTTATTGTTTATTATTTTTTCTTACTTCCATTACCTTAAGTAGTTATGCATTTGTATTCTATTTTAAATTCAAGATATAATTGAAACCAGCTCTAAGCTTTACTTAATTTTTAGTTATCTATAAGATTAACAGATTTAGTTTCATCTTTTATAAACTATTTCACATCTATTTTTTATTTCTCTCAAATCCTAACCACTTATTATTCTATAGACATAAAAATAATTCTTCTCTAATTTTTGACTTAGCTCTGTTTTTTTTTATTTTTAATTCTTTTAGCTTTCTCTACATATTCTTCTAACGAGATTCAGCTTATCAATTTTTAAACTTTTCTTTACAACAATGATTCATCTTACCTTTTTAATTTATATAATCCTGCTCTTATAAAATAGTTTCATTTATGTGGTCAATTATTTAAACCTTGTTTTAAAGTCATCTTATTAATTTATCCTATGCCTGTTAAACCTTTTTCTTAATCTCAACTGCCTTCTTAAATTCTTCATCATATTGAATATTTAATCTTTTATTATTGAATTATTCATATTATTTTAATATTATTCTAATACTTTATCAGAGCCCTCCATTATTTGCAAACAAAATTCTGAAACTTCAGCTCCAAATTTTTAATTTCCATTGACCTCTATCCCTTCATAGTAGAACTCTATATCTGGCAAATCACCCTTAAAAAATTAATTAACCATCCCTTCTTTCTTATATACTTAGCACTAAAGGATCTCATAGTGGTTTTAACTAAAACCTTTAAAAGAGATACGTATGCAATTGGTACTGATTTCCAACCAGTTCCTAGCTTTGATGGCAAAGCTTTCACTGTTTGCATTCTTCAAAATGGTCTATGTACTGCGTACAATAACTGATTCATAGATTTGTTACTCTAATCTTATACCTGGAATTAAAATACCAATAAATGTGAATAATGTAGAGCAGGAGCTACTCAACAAAATACCACAAACAATTATACAACCAATTTAAACAATACTGATGATTACAGCACGATTTTACCTATTTTCACCTTAAATCTTCATGGAATTATGACCACAATATGATTTTATCTAACATATAGGGAAAATTTATACAAATCTTAAAAAAGTACATTTTACAAAGACATATTTCTTCTATGAATCATATTCATTCATTCAAGCTTTTATCATATCAATTCATGACCTGCAAGTTAATATTTACATCTGATATAAACCTTCTAAATATGTAAACAGACGACTGAATAAATCTACGAGCTCTCCTGGTTAATTTTTGATTTAATAAGAAGTTTATTTTTTAAAATAATAGGTACTTTCTTATCTCCCAATATGATAGAGAGACTTTTACTTTTCAATGTTATCACCGATTTTTATTATTGCCTAATAGTTACATTTTTTAGCAAAATTCTAAAAGTCTTGCCACCCAAAACCAAGTCTATCTTAATTTGCATCTTTACATTATATGCATTCTTTGCAAGTTCCACTGAATAAATCGGTGGCAGAATTAGGCGAAAATGTATATTAAACTTGATTTATTCCTTCTAATCCTTCTCCATTGCATGCTTCTAAAATTTTGTATATTGAACAAGCTGCTTTAGAATACAATTTTTAGTATTAGAAACACATACTTTTCCAAGTATGACTCCACCGCAAACCAAAATATTAACTCCTTTATCAATAACTTCACATAACTTGAATCTATAAGGTTTATTTCCAGTATTTTAACCTATAGGAAAAGAGAAGATACAAGTTCCATCTGTTCCTTAATAAGAGGACTGCATCGATCATATGTGGTTCCAATAAGATCTGAACATTCCTTCAATTTGCAATTAGAGCCTTTCCAGAAACAAATTTCAGCACTTGTACATGACTTATCAAAATCATTACATTATTTATGAGAGTTAATAGTTGCAGATTGATCCTCACATTTCTGATCTCTGCATTAATTACCTATCTCTGTCCAAGCATAATACTTTTTAATTTTAACATTATCAATTTCCATTGTAATAACTGTGTTAACACAAGTTGATCGACTTGTTCCACTCTATTCATAACATGATACCTTAGTGGGTTAGTATTAATTCACCCATGTGCATTCTGGTCTTAATTTACAAGAATCTTAATTGATCATAGAATTGCTATTAACAGCAAATGTACACCATATCCAGTAATCACACAATCTTGATGATAATCTTGCCACTCTTGATCAGTTTTCAAATTATTTGAAGCTTCTATAAAAACTCTTTTGGCACACCTTCCTACAATAGTTCCATAAGTAGTAGCTTTGTATGGACCATTTAATGCTATATAAGTTGGGAAAGTGACTTCTGTTCCTTTGAACATCTCGCATCTCTTACCATAAGTATCACAAACAGTTTTATTAAAACACAGAAAGGTGTATTAAATGGTTTCATTTCATTGTTACAGTTTTTGTTATTAGTTCCTTAAATATTGCTACAATTCTACTTTTAGCAGTTTGATGTTTTTGTTGCATTTTCTACATTGTAACAATAATTATAGCCACTTGATTCCTTAAAGTTACTACAAGTATCTCTAGTTCCTTAGTAAGCTGAACAATTGAAAAATTTCGAAACACATCCTATTCCTTTTGTTACACATCCATCCAAATATGGTTTAGCATTCATCATTTGTAGTTGCAACTGTATTGTCTGTGCACTTTCTATCTTTACACTTACTATCCTCCTTATTGGATGACATTCCAGAACATAATAAATATACATCAACTTTGTTGGCATTTTCATAATGTGAATACTATTTGAATGCTTCACATTAAGTTTTTGTACCTCTATATTCAGAACAAGGTCTATCTTTCGGTATACAACGTTTTCTCTGGTTACGCAATCTTTCATCCAAATATTACAATATCCATCAGATTTAGCAAATACATTATCATAAAAGGTTCTTACTTAACAATTGCCATAAGTAACAACTGCAGTATTCGACTTATAATAATCATTCCCTGAATTATCAAGCATTTATTCGCGGAAGGCCTAATTTCCTCAAACAGTAATGCAACTACTTCTGGCATCAACACATCCAAAATCATCAGTCTTACAAGTTTTCAAATAACTTTTGTAATCAAAATCTGTATAAAATCTGGCAGTTGCTGAGTCACTACAAAGCCTATTAGCGCATTTAATACTATCATAATTGCATTTGTTGTCATTTGAATCAATAACTTTTCCACACCAAAATTGTTTTTCATTCTCATTACCCACATTATCTTAGAAAGTATATAATGCAAGTGAAGTTTTTGAGAGACATTTATTTTGATAGAATATACAATTACTGACATTATTCTTGCAACCATTTTCACTGCCATCAATATCAGCACTTAAGTTTCGCATTTTCTGGGATCTGAGGCATGTTTAATACATGGATAACGAGTGGCTATTGCTTTGAATATTGGACGGCATTGAGTTATCTCTTTACCATTATGTTGTCCTAATTTTGCAGTTGCTGAACCATCATATGAATGGCAAGTCTCAAGTGTAACACATTTATATCCCCCAAACATAAATTCATTTTCCATCAGTTTGATTTACTAAAGAATTACATGTAACTTTTTTTTCATTAACATTTATAACATCATAATCTTTAAATTCTTATAATTTGGAGTACAAAATTCCCCTACAATGTAGGAACAATTAATGTTATTTAATGTTAATAAATCACAAAATGCTTTATTATCTGGAACTTTATAAAACCCATCAGTTCTATTGTAGAATGTTCCTTAAATATATATACATGTCTTCCTAGGATTTCCTAAATCACATGAAATTGATGATGTAAGAGAAGATATATCAAAGCAATCAGAATCTCTACAAGTATTTAAGCCTGTCGTAAATGCACATTACTATTTTGAAGCATTACTTTACTAAGACAATAAGTTGATATCTATGTTGCTAATTATTTGTTATTAAATAAAAAATCAAGACTAAATATATGTAGTATATAATATATATA